CGGGGCTCGCGCTCGCCCCCGGCCTCCCTCTCCCTTCCCTGTGCTCCACGGGCTCTGCACCCAGGACCACACGTGGGCTGTGTTGACAAGGGCGAGGGTCCGGTGTGTTGCGTTTTGCAGGAACAGCTGCAGTCTCAGTATTTGAGGGACCTGCAGGAGGAAAGGACGAATGTGAGACTTACTGTCGGGCGTTAGTGGAAGATGCCGTTCACTTGTGTGGGTGGAATAACTTCAGTTCTGTGAGACCATAGTCCGAACACCATTGTTGTGATGGAGACTCCTTTTACTGAGACATTACGTGAGGAAGTAATGTGTCCAAGGGCAGGGACCTGTAAGGCTGGAGCTGAGCCTGGCATGTCTGCCCTGGGAATCCTGGTCCACTTGTCGCGAGGTGTCCTTTGCCACCGACTTCGGGGGACCCATAATCTCCGAGGGGAAGGAGAGAGAGCGAAGCGCTGATGTCCCTAAAACATTGCAAGGAATCAAAACATGTCGGCTCTAATGACAGTTCTGTGGTGTCTCCGTTTTACGAAGGAAAGAACAGACTAGAGGAGGAAAAATAGAGCAATTTCACACAACCAAATGCAGAGCGAGGCTGGAAACCTTAATCGATTGGAAGTGAAGTTTCATGCTTCCAAAAGCTGTGCTGTGCAGTGTGGCCCCTGAACGGCATGAGGTCCAACCGTTCAGATCCACTTACATAGATTATTTTCAATAAGTATATTGAAGAAAATTTTTTGGGATTTATAACAATTTGACTTTTCAAATTGTTTCTCTAGCCTTATTGTGAGAATACTGTATATAACATACAAAATATGTGCTCGTTAGCTATTTATTTTATTGGTAAGTCTTCTGGTCAACAGTAGACTTAAGTTTTGGGGGAGTCAGAAATTACAGACTTTTTTTTTTTTTTTACTGAAGGGGGTGGTCGGTGCCCCTAACCTTCCTGTTGTTCAAGGATCAACCGTGTTGCCTGGTCATAAGTCTGTTTTATAGATAGATCACCAGCAGTAAAGAAAAATTTCTGTATTTTGAGGCAGACAAAGGTGCCTTTTAGGAACTTCCTACTACATGACAGAAGTGGTCTTGAAGAATGAACAAGCCTGAATCCTAAAGGATATATGTACACGTGGTATATAGACGGTAGTCTGGGAATAAAGGGTCATGGACCAAGGCCATTCTCAGTTATTTGATACGGATGTGATCGATCATAGCTGTCTTTAAGACAGGCCACCAGGAGTAAGAAATTTGAATAGACCAGAAATAGGGAAGAGACTCAGAATGCAGTCCGCAGATGCTCACTAAATGTACCTGAGAATAATAAGTGCACTAATGGGTAATTTCTAACTTTTGGGTAGTAGAGAATTCCTCTGTTCGTGAGCAGAGGAAGCACGAAGACACACAGCACAATTTAATCGATTTAAATGTCTTTTAATTTTATATGTGCCGCACCCATTTCTTTTCTTCTAGTAATAGCACTTCCATTTTCCTTTGGAGGATTAATTCATTTCCCATACAATAGAGTTTTAATGGGACTGTCACGTTCCTTAACTTTGTGGTTAGATGAGACACAAGTGTGGCTAATTAGTTGAACGCTCCATGGAATAACGTAAGAAAATGGTTGGGATTAATTCAAACTGAGGACAGAATGCCGATGTGCCGCCTCATGGGTCTCGTTCTTCAGCCTTCTCTTCCGTTCTGTGAGCTGCTCAAACCAAAGATCCAAAACCTTAAACAGATAACCAAAAAATTGAAGACTTGGTTAGTCTCGCTTGTGTACATACATTTGAAAATCTTAAATACAAGCAAATAGCCTTTAGATTTTTAGAGCAGAGCTATGGAGCGAGCACGAGCAGGGAGAGGGGCAGAGGGAGAAGCAGACTCCCCACGGAGCAGGGAGCCCAATGCGGGGCTCATCCCAGAACCCCGGGATCATGACCTGAGCCGAAGGTGGACGCTTAACTGATGGAGCTACCCAGGCGCCCCAAATAGCCTATAATTAGTATATTAATATAATATTGTTATTAATATAGTGGCATCTTACAACCAGACTCCGTTTATTTTGGGATTTTAAGCAGGCTCAACATAAGGAAATGCTGTATCACTAGGTTAAATAATTAAAGTCAGGTTATTTTTGTAGATGCAAAAATGATCATATTTAAAACATTCCTAATTTTTAGAAGTAATTACAAAGATTCTTCCTTAATGAAAGGATAAAATAATAAAAGGAAAACTGAATCAAGAGGCACCTGGGTGGCTCAATCGTTAAGAATCGGCCTTAGGCTCAGGTCATGATCCCAGGGTCCTGGGATCGAGCTGGCCTCGGGCTCTCTGTTCAGCCAGAAGCCTGCTTGTGTTCCCTCTCTCGCGGTCTCTCTGTCAAATAAATAAAATCTTAAAAAAAAAAAAAACAAAAAACTGAATCAGAAGGCCAAAATTATATATAAGGAAGAAATGGTAGAGATGTGAGTTTTCAGCAAGTTAGAATCACTGTTATTTTCAAACCATGCATGCATGCTCTACCCCGAGGGAATCATTGCAGTTGAAAGCCACTGTTAAGGATACAGTGTCGTATCTCTTGAGTGTATTGTGGGTGAAAAAGATGGCAATTACTATAGAAAAGTATTCTCTTAATAAAAAAAGAACAAAATAAAGATTTTATTTTTAAGAGGCTTAGGGAGCAAATAATTCCTCTTTCCTCCAACTAAAACAGTGCAGCCTGGCAAATAATCAAACGGTAGATTTCTGATGAAGGACTTCCAGCTAGCAGCCAACATGGAGTAATTCCTACCAGAAACCATTGAAAATAGCACAAAATGTATGAAGCAATTGTTTTTCCACTGATGGGATGTAAGGCAAGACAGGGTAGTAATCTCTGGGGGCGGGGGAGAGGAATGGTGATCCCCAAGATTTCCTCTGACTCCCCGATGAGGGAATTCCGGCCTACCCCTGTGGAGAGCTCTTCCTTAGTTGAGAAGGGTTTGAGAGCCAGGGTAGATCAGGCTGGTGTGAATGCAGAGCAGAGTATTAGGAGGGAGCTGCACAAACAGCTCCAAAGATCTAAGGATTTTCCTCAGGTCTTCAGGTTAGAGCATCAGTGTGTCTAATAAGGAAACCACCTGTTCCCAGAGAAAGAACCACCAAAAGGAGCAGAAAAAAATCATTGGACTCACACAAAATCATTTGTTTTTCCACCAGTAAGAGTGGGAAACCATGTAAATCATAGGGCATTGGTTAGAGTGCTAAGAAGTGTATTGTCTCAGTACTGGGGGAAGAAATAGCTCTAGACTTAAAGATTTTTCCAGTTTGGTCTATCAAGATTAAAAGCAAGTCTCAAGAGAATTAAACTGTTCTTGTTACATGCTAGAAAATTCAAGAGTATGTAAAGGAATGCAAAAACACACCAAGGTAGAAGTCAGTATCTTATGTCCAATTAAATATTTTCAGACCTACAAAGAAACAGGAAAATAGAACTCAAAGTTAGAAGAAACAATAAAAATACCCAGAAATGACAAATAGCAAAGATAGAATTAGTATAAAAGGTCACTGAAGTAGTTACTACAGAAAAGTTATTGTTAGTTTTCATTAAATTAAAGCAGTTATATTAAGTGATAAAACAGTTATTGCATTTTGTATGTTCAAGCATGTTAAATCCAGATGAAACTCTACAGTTGAAAAATATGTTAGAGATGTAAAATATACTGAATAGAAATAGCAGATTTGACACTGCAGAACAGAACTTAGTGAACTTAGAGGCAGCAATGGAAAGAGGACCTGAAAAAATATATATATTAGTTAGGAGAAATAAGATACAGGGAAATTTCAGGCAAAAAAAAAAATATATATATATATATATATATATATATTTGGAGTTCCCAAGTGAGGAAAGGAGACAGGGCAGACAAAAAATATTTGAAGAAATAATGGGTGAGAAATTTCCAAAAAATGAAAACTATAAACCCACAAATCCAAGCTCAATGAACTTCAAGCACAAGAAACATGGATATTATGCTGAGATGTGAAGCAAATTGCTTAAAATCGATTTAATAATTTAAAGGCAGCTAGGAAAAAAAAACTAGGTACAGAGGAATGGTAAAATGAGAGCAGGCTTCTGATCAGAAACAGTGCAAGCTAGAAAACTGGCACTCTCATTAGTTTTAAAGTATCTTTAAAGTTGAAAGACCATCAACCTAGAATTCTATACCCAGTGAAAAATATATTTCAAAAACAAAGGCAATATAATAGGTTTTCCAGATATATGAAAATCAAAAATTCACCAACAGAAGATCTGCACTATCCAAAATGTGAAACGAAG